ATAAAGTGCACGCATTATGTCATTGATTAGTGAATGGGGAGAGAGAGAGAGAGAGAGAGAGAGAGAGAGAGATTACTATTTCCCGGATAAATTGACTTAAAAATGTACAATTTTTTGTAAAATACTTTTTGTATATAAAGAATAGACATATCGACACAAAAAGTTAAGAATTTTTATTATCATTGAATAAAATTTTGCGAAAACAATGAATAAACTGTTGGTTTTAGTGTTTTGTATAATCGCTGCCGCGATGACTGTGGTTGAGGCCCAGCATGCCTACGGTAGGGCGTACGGTAGGGACTACTCCCATACCCAGAATCGTAACGGGTACAGACAGCCACAGCACCGGGGTCCCGTACGTGGCCAACACTTTGGTTAAGGGGACGATTAATGGATGGCAAAACACCCGGCGCTGATTGTATGGACACGTTTTGGACAATTAAATGACATGCTTTTTGGATTCAATTATAAGGCAATAATTTTCTACATTAATTATAAATCTATTTTTAAATCTATTATATTATAAAGTTGTTATGAAATATGATTTGTTGTCAACGTATGTAATGATTGTTACTTTCAAATAATAATAATTAAAATAAAGTTATGTTTTGAAAACTATTATATATTTTCACTTATTTAACATTATCATGAAATTGTTTTATTAAAACTTTGGATTTAAAATACAATATTTGGAGTGATATTTAGTATAATATATCAATAACCTAATATAAATTTTACTATATTATTGATAATTATGCACTTGATTGCAAAAAAAATTAATTAGAAATTAATTTTTCATTAAGTACTAATAAAAATGATATCATGTTGAAAAAGTTCTAGTCTCTAGCTGCTAGATTAACTTGCAACTTTTTAGGTCCCATTAGTGGGTTGCATAAATAGTAGTCCAGTCTGGGTGTTTGCGCCAAGGTAAACTCAAATTTATGTATGAGCTTGGCCAAACACACCCGCATTACACTTATGGCAAACCGTTGTCCAATGCACTGTCGGGGTCCGCCACCAAACGGTAAATACGCGTAGGGATGGTGTGTCGACTCAAACCACCGGTCGGGTAGAAAGACATTAGGGTTGGACCAGTACTCAGGGTCCCGGTGTATAGCGTAGGGGTATATTTCAACGGATGCGCCCTTTGGTATTGTTATACCTAATAAATAGACAGATGTTACACTGGTATATATTATAACTTTCAATTATATAAAATCTACTAGTACATTTGGACCCTGCTTTAGAATATTTATTTTTCATTGGATAAGAAATTTTTAATTTAATCAATTTATTATTACCTGTATTCCCAAGTTTGTAGTCCTGTAGGCATTCCCTTTGTACGCGGATTACGGATGGGGCCAGACGTAGGGTCTCATTGATCACAGCATTCAAGTACTTCAAGTGACCCAACGTTTCGTACGTAAACTCGTCGCACGTTTTCAACTCGTCGTACAGTTTCTGTTGACACTCCGGGTGAAGGGACAGGTAGTATATGGCGTGGGTTAGGGCAGCAGCGGTGGTGTCGAATCCGGCCAAGAAAAACATGATTCCCTGAGCGGACATCTCCTCCGCCGTCATCTCACCACTCGTAGGCCTTTTGGTCGGGGCGTCAGTCGACTCGGCGTCCGGTCCCCCATCGCTGTGGGTATTATAGTCCAGGTCTTTGTCCGTATTTTCCGAGTCTATCATTAATTGTATGAAATCTGTGCGACGTTTGGCTATAAATAAGTGGTAATAATTTGCAGCATTTTAAATATAAATCAACTAATGAGCAAGGAATACTTAAAAATGTCAAGAATTGATTAATAATTAAAAATATATCTTCAAAACTAAAGTATATCAATTTGTTAAATTAAAATAATGCTAATTTATATTCGTGATATAATTGCTATATTTTTAAGAAAATATTATTTAAAGTTTAGATTCTTTAATAAGCTTATTTGAAAAACTGGCATTGTATATGAACCTAGAACATTTAGAGTAGCTTTAATATTTATGATATGAATATCGAAAAACCTTTATAAATGTACCATAGTCAGTATTCATGAAACGCGTACGCACTTACACTGAACACCAGGGTGCTCACATATAGCCTTTCTCTCTTTAAATATGTGCTTGGTTAGTTCATTGAAATAGTCAATAGAATTTGTGTCAAAGAGCTGTAACTTC